GGGGGGGGGGTGAGGTGGTGGGCCAGGCCGAGGAAATGGCAGCTGCGGGTAATATTAAAGCCGAGCCTTCGCGGACCGCCAAGGGCATTTGGCCCCCTATAAATAAACACTCCTTTCCGAGCCGGGCCCATGTCTCAGTGAAAACCAATCCAGGAAACTTAAGGAGCTGCTAAAGCGGAGCCGCTGCTTGGAGAACAGCCAGGGCACACCCTGGCCATCAAATGCCCAAGCGACGAGCAGGACCAACGACTGGGGAGCCAGCAGCCCCCCAAGGACTGGGGTGGGGGACCTAGCAAGAGATGACGGCGCCGGTGCCAGAAGGCTCTGGCTGGCCTGCTGGTTTCCTGGGACCCAGAGGGCGAGAGACAGAAGCGCTGTGGCCCCAACTGGTCATGGCACCCCCAGTCCTGGCTCGTGGGCCAAATAATGCTGCGGAGACTGGCAGGTGATGCGGGGGCCCTATCCAGAGATGCTCAACGTGCCGGAGTGGAGAGCCCTATTCACCAGGAGCAGCTTGATGTGGCCGCCTCTGCCTCTCAACCCACATGCTCTTCCAAGCTGGTGAAGAGGTTCCCACTGGATGAGCCAGACTCAGCCGCTGAGATGTGCTAAAGGATCCCTCCTTCCAGCTGCCTCTCCGGCGACCTGACTCTGAGAAGAGCCGGTTCCCTGCACTGGAGCAGCTGGAACCACCAGCATCAGATAACTCCTTCTCCAGTGGCAGCTGCTTTGGAACTACTGCCCCCTTGCCCCAACCCCTGAGAACACAAAGTGGCCCCAAAACACCCCCCCCCACTGAGTGCTCTTCAGAGGACCCCCACACCTCCTGGGGCCAAGATACACTTGACTTTAGCTAAAAGGCTGAGAAGCGATTCTTGGGGCCAAGGCCTCCAGCAGAAGCTCTGGAAACAGTGAGCACTGCCCCCTCCTCCTCTCTCTCTCTGCCTTTGCTCATATTTGGTGATTCCCTGAGGCAGGAGGAGGAGGTGGGGCTGACACACAGATGGGGGAGGAGCAATGGCTTGGAAAGCCCAGCCGCCTGGGTGCTCCCTCACCGTGGCCCCATCTCCTCCTCCTGCACCCCACAGTCCCCGTGTCCTCCTTCAGCCCCTGCACAGAATGCCGCCTCCCACATTCTTCTGGTTCCAGTATAATGCTGCTGGAGTGTTTGATTTTAAGGAAACTAAAACTGAGCACAGAGACACCTGTACTCTGAATGTCTTAAAAGGTGTTCAATAACTCAGAGCAAGGATCAAGCCAGTGGCAGGAGAACTAAATGGGAAAGGTTGCTCAAGGTGGGTGGAAGTTCCTAAGGAAAAGCAGAACTGCAAATAATTCCAGGGAGGAGAAAAAACAGAAGACACTAAAAGAAGCCAATGGGATTACACAAAACATGTAATAAAGATCTGAAAACAAACCCACAAGCAAACCATATACAGGAAATGGAGAGAGACCCAGGTCACAAGGAAGAGGACAAACGAGCAGCCCTGAGCTGCATGTCCGCTGGTGTCAGGAAAGCAAAATCTCAGAAAGAGCTGCATTTAGCAGAAGATGCTCAGAAAAAGGGCTTTAGTTCCATCCAAGGTAAAGAGAAAAGAACCAGTCCTGCAGCTGCTCAGTGAAGGAGGCAAACCCCTGACAGATGACAAGGCAGCGGTTCCCATCTCCTGTTTCTGTCTGGTCTTCTCTCCCCCCCAGTGTTTGCCATCAGAAATTCTGAAAGTGGGGCTGATGGGCAGGAATGAAGCTTGAGATAGAGAAGCACCAACCAGAAGGATGGCACCCCAGGGGACTGGAGAACTGATGCCTGGGGAAAGACAAATATCTCTGTCCTCAGAAAGGGGAGGACAGCAGTAAACCACCGACGAGGCTGTCTGATACCTTGGAAGACAGGAGAGCAGTTCATCTATCTATACGCATCCTGAAGATGATGTGGTAATCACCAGAAACCACCATGGATTTCTCAAGTAAAAATGTTGCCAGATTACTCTTACTCAGTGTTTGATCATGTAACTTCCTTAATAGATTGTGGGAATGTTTAGTTATAATATCAGTTGATTTCAGCAAAGCATTGGTCCCCCCACAACATGTTGACTAGCAAACTGGTTAAGTATGGCTTGGGTGGCCTTAGAATTAAATACATACATAGCTGGCTTGAAAACAATTCTTGCAGCATGGTTATCGAGGCTTTTTCATCAAATTGGAGAGGAATTACTTGGGTGCCACAAGGGTCAATCCTGGCTTCTCTACTCTTCAATATTTTCATTAATGAGTCGAATGAAGAGGTGAAGGGAATGGTTATCAAATATCCACAGCTCAGCTTTGGATGGGATAGCTAATACCCCAGAAGACAGAAATGATAATCAAAATTATCCTCAGAGGTTGGAGAAATGAGCTAAACAGAATGAATTTAACAGAGACCAGTGCCAAGTTTCTTCAAATGCAGTGCCAAAATTCATCAAATGCGCACACCCCTGCAGGATGGGGGATACCCGGCTTGGTAACGGTACTTGCAAAAGAAATCTTGGACGATGGATCAACTGCACCTGAGTTCGAGGCAACCGTGTGACGTGGCTGCCAGGATGAACGTCACAGGAGGGGATCCTTGGGCTGCTGGATTGGGATCCCAGGTCAGTTGCGTTCAACCATCTCAAGCGCAGTTTTGTACTTTAGGGACACTGAACCAAAATTGCCAGGGAGAGGCCTGAAGGACAGCCCTCCTTTCTCAGGCTTGTCTTCTATCTTTTCAATCTGTTGGACATGTCCATTTGTCCACAGCACACAACAGCCGTGCCTCCGCCCCCCAGCCAGCAGTTGATGCAGATCCAGCTGCAGTCAACCCTGGGTGGCTGGGCTCAGAAGAGTGTCACAGTTCTGTCACAGTTTGTGACTCTGAAGAGCATCACTGTTTGTGTTTGGCCCCGGGAAGCAGCTGAGGCCAAGGCAGGCTGGGCTTGGCATGGTGCCAGGATGGCAGGAGGACCCTTGGCAGTGGACTGTCTTGGGCAAGAGTGGCATCAGGCAGGCCTAGCCAGGCTGCAAAAAGGAGAGGACCAGAGGGCGGGAGCTGAGCAAGCGCCAGACAGAGGAGCAGGGAAATGCAGTGCAGCAAAAGTGCAGCCAACAGATAGAAAGGAGGGTGAAAAAACCCAGGTGTGTTATCCCTGATCAAGAATCAACCAGTCTGAAGCTGAATTCCCCTGACTCCCGCACAGATCCCTCCCTAGGACCAGCTACGGGGAAAGATATCATTTTAAAAAGAAGAGTGAGGTTCAGCCTGGAGGTTCAGCATGATCCAGGAAACACGTCCTCGCAAACCCTTCTTCCTGCAAACTCCTTCACAGTGCTGTACGGGCTTGGAATCCATGCCCCAGACGGACCCCCTGCCCGTCCAAAGCCAGGATTCCTGCACTGTTTCAGGCCAGGGACAAAGGGCGGAAAGCAGGCCCATCCAGGCTGATCCGAGTCTGCCAAGGAGCAAAGGTTTGCTGCAAGTTTGTTGAGCGGATGGTTGAGAAAAGGTCGTTTCCTGTAACTCTGGAGAAACAGACCCTCCCAATGGGACGCTTAGAGCTGCCTTCTGTGGGCTGACAGAGTCACTGAGTCTGCTTCTCTCTCTGCCTGCCTGCCCACCCCTGCAGCACGGCCGCACCCCGGTTTGCCTCGGGAGTCTACATGAACTTACACAGCCTGGCTTCCAGCCGCGGAATCCCTGGCATCACAGACCTCCCACCACACACGCACGTGCCCGTTCGTTTTCACCGCCTCTGGCACTCAGTGAGGCAGAGGGCGCGGTGGAGAAGAGAGGAGAGGAGAGGAGAGGAGAGGAGAGGAGCTGTCTGGAGGCAGACTCCCATCTGCCACTTTTTTAAGCTGGGGAAGTCACCAGCAGAGTCACATGTCTGAGGACAAGTCTGAACCCATCCGAAAGGAGAGACAAACCTCCTTCCTTCAGACAGCCGGGCACGAGGAAGAACAGGAAGACGACAGCCAACAGGAGACCATGCAAAAACTGCCACATGCTGAGCCCAAGAACATTCGAAGACCCAAATTCCTTTCTAGAGTTTCCGTCTGCCGCTTCTTGTAAGGCAGGTGACGGTGCC